ACTTTGAGACTGTGCAGTATCTTGTTTCTCAGATTTGCTTGCTAATTTCAGCATCCAAAAGTGGATCTTTCCTGTAGTAACTATTATTACTCTGGTGTTCTAATAGTGATTTGCTATTTTCCTTATTCCTTCTACATTTATTAGTTGGAATTCTTTTTTTTAATACAGTATTTCAGTTTCATTTTTATTATTTTTATTTTTAAATATTTATTTATTTTTGGCTGCATTGGGTCTTTGTTGCTGTGTGCAGGCTTTCTCTAGTTGCAGTGAGCAGGGGCTACTCTTCGTTGCACGGGCTTCTAATTGCGGTGGCTTCTCTTGCTGCGGAGCACGGGCTCTCCAAGTGCATGGGCTTCAGTAGTTGTGGCACGCAGGCCCAGTAGTTGTGGCTCACAGGATTAGTTGCTCCACAGCATGTCAGATCTTCCTTGACCAGGGCTTGAACCCACGTCCCCTGCATTGGCAGGAGGATTCTTAACCACTGCACCAACAGGGAAGTTCCCAACAGGGAAGTCCCCAAGGTTGTGATGATGTTTGTTTGTGAGTTAATGTTTCTCTAGGAGATCAAGGCAAGGTTTCTTGGGAAATGTAGTCTCTGTCAGGCCTGGGACACCAGGCAGGGTCATGCAATAGAGACAGATACCCAGTCATATGGCATCAGGTAGACATCCATTCACACACAACTTGGGTGCATGGCAGGCATGAATTTTTCCCATGTCCAAATGATACTGGCAGTAAGTTAGCTGCTATTTCTAATTTTCCTCCTCCTGGGACCATGATTATTCTCATACTGAGTTGGGAATGCTAGACAGATGTAGATGTATGCAGAGAGATGTACCTTTGAATAGACCCATTTAAAACATTTTGTAATACTCTTTTCCAGTATATATATTAATATTTTTCTGAGACACATTTTTTCTATTGTAACATGATGTGAATGAAATATGTCATCATTTTTAAGCCTTAATAATTATATCAAATAAAACTCACTTTTCTCTTGGGTTATTACCTGGCCACCTCTCCCTTATTTGCTGTAACATGGGAGATCTTAACATAGGTAACAAAACCAGAGTGACATTAGTTGATGCTCTCTGTTCCCCTTTAATGCCACCCAGAATGCCAGTGGTTGGGGGAATAGAGATGCCTTTACTTGAGCTATGGAGAGACGACGTTTCAAGTGAGAGGCATCTCCAGGTACTGGAGCTAATCCACAGTTGATTATTTCCCATATAGCTATCAGGAGCTAACTGACTAAAACTAAACTAACAGTGATTGCCCAAACTTATATTTAAACTTTTTTTTTTAAACAAAATAAATTATGTACACAGGTAATAATTCTAGTAACTGCGGCAATTTGTGCAGTTCTAGATACTTGGTAGTGGTTATTTTTCTTTCTTTTGTTTTTTAAATAGGAAGTTGATGTTTTTAAAGTTAAGTATGAATTTTTTTTTCTTTTTTAAAAATCTATTTTCATTTGTTTATTTTTTTCTTTTGCCTGTGCAGCAATCAGGATCTTAGTTCCCTAACCAGGGATCGAACCTGTGCCCCTGCAGTGGAAGCGTGGAGTCTTAACCACTGGACCACCAGGGAACTCCCTGAATTTTTCTGATTTTTCTGACCTTAGGTACAGTGTGGCCATTTCAGTAGCTGTAGCATATAAATATGCATTGTTTCTTTTTGAATATCATATTTGTTCCAAAATAAAACACTGAGTAGTTCTAACAGAGTACATTAAAATGAAATTCTAGATACTATTTGACAGTCTAGTACAATCAGAATTTTTACTTTACTTTTTTTTTTAATTTAAATTTTATTTTTGGCTGCGTTGGGTCTTCATTGTTGCGCACGGGCTTTTCTCTAGTTGTGGTGAGCACGGGCTACTCTTTGTTGTGGTGTGTGGGCTTCTCATTGCAGTGGCTTCTCTTGTTGCAGAGCACGGGCTCTAGGCGTGTGGCTTCAGTAGTTGCAGCTCGTGGGCTTAGTAGTTGCGGCATGTGGGCCCTAGAGTGCATGGGCTTCAGTAGTTGTGGCGCGTGGACTCAGTAGTTGTGGCTCACGGGCTCTAGAGCACAGGATCAGTAGTTGTGGTGCATGGGCTTTGTTGCTCCGTGGCATGTGGAGTCTTCCCGGACCAGGGATTGAACCTGTGTCCCCTGCATTGGCAAGTGGATTCTTGTGCTACCAGGGAAGTCCCACAGTCAGAGTTTTTAAAAGGCAGACTGTTTTTTTGTGGGTTTTTTTGGGGGCTGCGCTGTGCGGCTGTGGGATCCTAGTTCCCTGTCCAGGGATCGAACCCGGGCCGCCTGCATTGGAAGTGTGGAGTCCAAACCACTTGGCCACCAGGGAATTCCCTGAAAGACAGATTTGATAGGTTCTGTAGTTTTTATATCCTTTTAACTTACTTAAATATATAGAGCATATATAAGCCCCTTAAATACATGCATAAACACACATATATATACACATACATGTTATATATACATATTTAAGGTACTCATATATATGGGTAAAACATACCAACATTTTTCTTCTATACTGTCTTGCTAATATTTTAAACCTTAGGAAACCAGTGTCCAGATGAACCATGGTTGATATCTTTATGTAATAAAAAATGGAGTTTTGTATATTTGCTTTTGAGTTGGTATTTTAATTTGAGGAAATAAAAATTTGAAGGGGCATTCACATAAAAGTGAATTTAGAGTCTAAGATTAAGCTGTTACAGGCCACTAAACTTCTCAATATGTTTTAGACCAGCAAACTCCAGGTTAACTTAGATGTAAAGAGATTTTCATGAATATGGCCAAATAGGTTATAAGTTTGCCATTTCTCCTTTATTTTTATTTATTTATTAAATATTTATTTATTTATTTATTTATTTATTTATTTACTTGGCTGTGCTGGGTCTTAGTTGCGGCACGCAGCATCTTTGCCATTTCTCCTTTAAAGGTAACAAAGTAAAATGGTCTCAAGGTGAAGCAAGGAAGATCTATGTACACTTAAAGAAGAATTACATATTACTAAATACTGAGTTGTTTAACAGAGCTAATCTGAGAGTATATCCACTGATTGAAGAAATATTTTTTTAGTGTCTACTATGCACCAGAAACTGTTCTAGGTGTGAGGATAGACTGTTGAACAAAACAGACCAGGTTCTTGCCTTCATGAATTGTGGAGACAGAGGTTAAGTCACGTTGGTCAGAACATGGGATACAAAGCAAAGTAGAGCAAATATTGGCTTTGGTGTCATTTTCTATTCCAGGAATGCTGGGTGGTTTTCATGTAACAATACCAGCTCTGTAGACCCTCCTCATACTCCTGAATTGAGAAGGATTATATGCCACATCCTGGCTAGGGGAGGAAGAGGGCTGTGATTGTGTGTTAATGATTGCTACTATGGGTGGAGTGAGGAATGGTGGCTTGTGTACTTTGGAATCAGGCAGACCTAAGTTCAAGTCCTGGTTGCGGCACTTACTAGATGCTGAATTTTGGGAGAGTTATTTAACTACTGTGAACTTGTCCCCTCTTCTGTAAAGATGTGAAGAATTGACAGAGTTGTGAAAATTAAAAACTCTAGAAGATGGTCAGTAATATGAATTCTCCCCATCTTTTTTCTTACCTTAGTTTTCTTATATGTGAAGTGGGGATGCCATTACTAGCCTTGTCTATTATTGTGAGAACTAAATAAATGAAATAAATATGTGAAACCACCTTAATACAGTTTATAATGTGCTATGACTGTATGTTATTTCTGGAAATGTAAGATTTTCAGGCACCTGGGCAACTCTGGGGAATAGAAGAACTCATGGATTCTTCCAGAACTGGGAAGCTATGGATCCCATTAGCAACCTAGTATTAATGAAGTTCCGCTACACTTTGTGTTGTTTCCTCTCTTTTTGGTTACCAGCCACTAGCTAACCTGCTGCTCCGAATCCCATCTCTTCTTCACATTCCCGAGAGAATCTGTACTGGCCCACTTAAGCCCTGGTATTCTCTTGGGCAGAATTTTCATACCCAGCCCCATCTGGGCACTTGGTTGATTGGCCTGTAGAGTGGGTGCCCTTGGGTCTGGTGTTTACTAGTGCTTGTTCTGACAGGAGCTGTGCTGGCCTAGTCTTGCTTCCTTCGTGGGGTTGTGGGGCAGGAATTTCCCTCAGAAGGTGGCTGGGTCACTGCAGGCACTAAATTGACCTATCTAGGGAAGTGCTATGACTATTTAAAGGGATTGGAGGAAAATAGGGTAGGCTTTATGGTGGGAAGATGGCCTTTGAGATTTCTTAAATTGCAGATGATCATTTTTTCCTTTTCATTTTTCTTTTAATAAGTAGTTAGTAATTTGTATTACTTCTTGGAATCAATTGAAAATTATTATTTCTTGAAGTAGCTACAAGCTCATAGATCAAGTTCTCTTTAGATTTTAGGCTTCCAAAGAAAAGACTCAAAAAACTTTGAGTTATTAGCAATTCAATTGGTAAATTATTCTTTTTTAAAAAATATTTATTTATTTGGTTGCGCTGGGTCTTATTTATGGCACATGGGTTCCTTACTTGTGGCAGGCAGGCTCCTTTAGTTGCAGCTCGAGGGCTCCTTAGTTGTGGCTCACCGGCTCCCTAGTTGTGGCACACGGGCTCCCTAGTTGTGGCATGCAAACTCTTAGTTGCGGCATGCCTGTGGGATCTAGTTCTCTGACTAGGGATTGAACCTGGGCCCCCTGCATTGGGAGCGCAGAGTCCTAAGCACTGCGCCACCAAGGAAGTCCCAAATTATTCCTGATAACTCAAAATTTCACCAATTTTTAGAGATAACTTTGTGTCAAAACTTTTTTTGCCAAATGTAAATCCTCCTCAATTCTCCCAGCTTCTCCTGTGTTTCATTGTTAAATTTGTGAACTGTTTCTTAAACCAATTTGATCATAGCCGACTAGTATTTTAGAAGTACCTGCTAATGTTTACAATATATACTCCATATATTTGTCTAACAAAATTTAACTCTTCTTCTCCCAGGTAATTTATCCTCAACATTCCAAACTTACTGATAAAGAAGTAAGTAAAAATATTGCCCTATATAGTTTACTGTTTTATTTCTGTTTGTTTTTATTGGTGTATATATGTCAGCATATATAGTTTTTGTTTTCTTTTTCAGAAAACCAATATTTGCTATTTGTCTTTTCCAGATTCAAATTCAGGTAACTATTTTTCATGTGGTGTTTCTGTTCAATTTTATACTGAGAATGCTGATTATACTCTTAATATATGAAAATTAATTGAAATAACATAGTAGAATGCAAACTCAATTTCATCCTAACAGATTAGCGATTTTGATTCCTACTGTTATGATCCTAGTCGTGTCTTACTTATTTTCGTTGGTTCAACTTTGGAAATAACTGTTATCTTGTAATGAGGTAAAACATCATGGAGCAATAAACTGTTGAAATAATGAAGAGATTGAAAATCATCAACGCTGGTATGTTTGAGGATTTATATTAAGCAGTTTTCTTTTAGTTTAGGATTTGGGAGATTGCCAAGAACTCTGTAATAGCAGGGATTTAAAAAAAAAATCAGGGTAAACATGGTTATAAAGCATGGCCATCAATTATTTGCAATAGTTTATGTGAGTTAGTATATATAAAGCATTTGAAATAGTGCTTGGGTATAGAAAGTACTTTATAAGTGTTTGCCATTATTATTAAGCTTGGTTTTGCTGGTCTCCTTCAAGTTCTTCCTTTGTGTGGTCCTATAAGTTGATATCTTTCAGGTTACCTTTTGTGTTTCACTTAGGAAATAATTTTTCAGGCTTACAGTGACCAGAACACTTAACTTCTTAGACCACACACTTAGAATCCCATGAAGCAAAGGCACTACAGTTCCCTTTCCTTTTGTGGTTACTTCTAATATACTGTTAATTTAGTTTAGATAATCTGATTTGGGAGACTTGACATTTTAGCTTTTTAAAGCATTTTCTCTTTTCCTTATAAATGCTTCCAGAATTTTTTCCTATAGTTTTGGAACTCAGCTTTCATGAAATATGTTTAAAAACAAAAAAACAAGGTTTAGTTAAAAAGATGGCTTTGAGCGATCCCGGGACGGCTTTTGTTTTGACCTGGAATTATTGGAATCTTTTCACATGTTTTGCCTGTTGACGAGATAATGATACAGCGGTCTTATAGGATCTCCCCTTATTTCGGATAACATTTGCCTTACAAAGTGCACACATGTAGTTCTGATTGTAGTGAGTATTGGATTGGACTTCCATGACTCAAGGTCAGGTGAGTTGTGTGGATTACAGGATGCACTAACTTCATGTGATTATACTGCACACTCTTCTTTTTCAGGTCATGGCTGGTTTTCATGGCTCTCTCCCTTTCACCTCTCTACATGAGCATCAAGACTAAGAAGTTAATTGTATGATGTCTGATAGTCTTTTTTATTTCTAGTTTTGTAGTTAGTCTCTGTATGAGTCATTTTCTTATTGGAAGTTAAACTCAAGTGTAAATCTGTGTAGATGAGCATTTGTTCAGGGAATTCCCTGGCAGTCTAGGGGTTAGGACTCCGGGGGGCCAAAAAAAAAAAAAAAAAAAGAAAAACCAATTTGTTCAGTATTTTAGGCATTTGAATGACCTACAGATGTTTTGTAATGCCTTTTTTATAAGCCGCATATCAAAGGAAGTGTGGTTCATTTTATTCAAAGTATGGTTGGTACTTAGAAGTAAAGTCAACAAAAGATCTTAAAAATAGACACCTTGCCATCTTAACAGATGAATAGTAATCTAGACAGCAAGAGACTATGCATTTATATATATTTGAGATCACTGTTCTCAATTGTGATTATCCAAATAGTTTGTTTCATTTATGTGTTCGTTAAATGGAAGTTGGAATTAGTACTATGCCAACTTTGAAATGGATTTAATTTTTCCCAAGATAGCTTTATTGTTACAGAAGGTGCAGTAGAGCAGTCTTTAGGAAAGAATAATAACCTAGCTTTTGTTTCCACGGTGCACACTTAAAAAAAGTAAAACAACATTTAGACTCTATGGTAAGTTATACAGATAAAGAAGAATACTTTTGGGATTCCCAGTGGGAGGATTTGCCAGCCCTCCACTTCCTCCACCCCCTACCCACACACAACATAGATACTGTGACTTTAGAAAAAAGGTTTGTTTTGTTTGTTTTTAGCTTTCAGTTTTTTGTTCCATTTGAATGGCTTTTATCTTTAGGAGCCTAAGTTTAAAGAATGTCTTCTCTCTAATAAATATTTGTCAGATATTTTTCTCATTATTTACCATTAATATCATCTGGATATATGCATTCCTGAGTCTTAAGCTGTGATGGGTATCCAAGGACTGTAATCACTATGCTCTAAACATGGCCAGAGAGAAGACTTAGCATTAGTAGAGAGAGTTTCAAGTGATGATGAATCCGAGGGAAATATCAGTCCTTGTTCTGGATGGATTAGATGTGCAGATAATATTTGTCTTACCAGATTTTTTTCTATGTAAACAGCTGGGACATCGTCATGTACTTTACACGTCCCGGTGGTGAAAGGAGTGCTTCTCACACTCATCTGTGTTGAAGGGCCATTTGGGTGTTTTAAGAATTTCCAATCTGTTGTGGACCGGTGCTTTTATAAAATGCTGTATACATGAATTATTAGAAAAATGAAAGGGAGAAAAACCAAAGAATACAAAATAAAAGTCCATATTTGTCATGGCAATATCAAATCGCTATAAGGGTTTCTAAATGTGTGTTCTCAGTTTGGGTATTTATTTTGTCATGTATTGTAACAAGAGTTTGTGGACTCGCATCACTCTATGGACTACACTTTGAGAAGTGTAGTCCCTGGTCTAAACTCCTGCTTCTCAGAGTTTCCAACTCTAATCACAGAGAGGGTGACTACATAGAGCTGAAGGCCAGGGATGGGGCTAGCTCTTAAGGTCTCATGTTTTATTTTAGTCTTACTCTGAACTGTTCTATAGCTGTTTTCCACTAATATAAAAATACTCTGGGACTTCCCTGGTGGCGCAGCGGTTAAGAATCTACCTGCCAACGCAGGAGACACGGGTTTGAGCCCCGGTCCAGGAAGATCTCACATGTTGTGGAGCAACTAAGCCCATGCGCCACAAATACTGAACCTGCACTCTAGAGCCCACGAGCCACAACTACTGAGCCCAGGAGCCACATCTACTGAGCCCACGTGCCATAACTACTAGAGCCTATCCGCCTAGAGCCCATGCTCTGCAGCAAAGACAAGCCACTGCAATGAGAAGCCTGTACATCGCAACGAAGAGCAGCTCCTGCTCACTGCAACTAGAGAAAGCTCACGTGCAGCAACGAAGACCCAACACAGCCATAAATAAATAAATAAACTTATTAAAAAAACAAAAACAAAAACAAAACTGATCAAGGGTCTTCCCTGGTGGTGCAGTGGTTAAGACTCTGTGTTCCCAATGCAGGGGGCCCAGGCTCTATCCTGGTCCAGGAACTAGATCCCACGTGCATGCCAAAACTAAGAGTTCTCATGCTGCAACTAAGGAGCTGATGAGCTGCAACTAAGGAGCCCGTGAGCCACAACTAAGGAGCCCGCCTGCCACAACTAAGACCTGACGCAACCAAATAAATAAATAAATTTAAAAAAATAGTCTGAAGTTGTCTCTTCCCTTTAGAAGAAATATTTAAGCCTTTTTTTTCCCTCAAATCTCAAGTAATTTTTTAAAAATAAATTTATTTGTTTTTATTTTTGGCTGTGTTGGGTCTTTGTTGCTGCACGTGGGCTTTCTCTAGTTGTGGTGAGTGGGGGCTACTGTTCATTGCAGCGCATGAGCTTCTCACTGTCATGTCTTCTCTTGTTGCAGAGCACAGGCTCTAGGCGCGCGGGCTTCAGTAGTTGTGGCACATGGGCTCAGCAGTTGTGGCTCACGGGCTCTAGAGCGCAGGCTCAGTAGTTGTGGCGCATAGGCTTAGGTGCTCCGCGGCATGTGGGATCTTCCCGGACCAGGGCTCGAACCTGTGTCCCCTGCATTGGCAGGGGGACTCTCAACCACTGCGCCACCAGGGAAACCCGGAAGTGGTGTTTTTGAAGTCCATTTTGACTTGAAAGAGCCAGTATGATGTAATGGTCAAGACCACCAGCTCCAGAGTCAGATGTCGTGAGCTCAAATTCTTGCTCTGCCATTTGGCAGATTTATTTCTTTGGATGATTACGTAACTTTTCTGTGCCTTGGTTTCCTCCTCACAAACTAATAATGGGACCTACTTTAGAAGCATGAAGACCAAATGAGTTAATATATCTAAAGTGTTTAGGACAGTGCCTGCCACAGAGTGAGCATTCAGTGAAATTGGTGCTCAATTCATGTATTGAAAGGGTGGAAAATCAGTTCTGAAAGCAGACAAAATAATGAAAATAATTTTGACTTGCGATTCTGTTTGATTTCTGTTGTAAGAACTTAGTTGTTTGGAAAAGGATGTTGGGGGAAGGTTACAGGAATTTTCTTGGTTTAAAAAGTGTTGGGTTATTAGTTCTGTTTTCTGGGCTCGTAAAGATTATCTTAGATTAATTAAAGTGGAACTTTTCCTCAAGCTGTGGGGGTTTGCTGAGCAAATTTGCTGTTTCCTTAATCCCTGCTGCTTTATCAGGGAAAGAGTTTATGTGGTTCTTAGTCAAGAAGACACGTGAAGGTGTATTTTCTTTGGAGAGCTGTCATTTAATCTTAAAATTTGTATAAATTCATCTTTGTTCCTTGATTTATGTGAAGAAAAAATACTTTCCATTAAAACTTTTAACCTTTTTTGTTGTTGTTTTTGTTAATAATCAGAAAGCTATGGTGCACATAGCATAACTTTTAGGTCTTTTTGGATCTTTATAGGTCTTTAGTTTTCTTAGTGAATGCAGTGGGTAAGATGCTTGGAATTCAGTACAATCGTAGGTCAGTTGTGGAGATTTATTTTAGAGTTATTGCATATTACTGCTGGACGTGACTTTAGAGATTATCTTATGATGCCCCTTAACTTTTGTTTACAAGGAAATTGAGAACCTTAGGCGAAGTGACTTCTAGAAGGCTAATTATTGATGGATCTGGGACTACATCCCATTGATTGTGGTTCCTTTTTCCTCAGATTATAACCTTTCCCGCACGTGCACAGTCATTTAACCATCTTTCATATGCAATCATTATACTGCTTATGTAGAGGTGCACTCTCCTGTTAAATAGGCAAATTGGATGGGTCATACTAACAAGGTAGATTTATTTTTGATGAGGTTGTAGGTTATCAGGATTGCCCTGCCCTCCACAGGTATCATTTTCTGCAAGACAAATGTAAATAACCTGGTTGCCAATCTGTAACACCTCTTTTCCTGTCCCGTTACTAGTGAGGTCAGGATGGAGAACAAAGGTCTGTCCAGATAAAGAGTTGGCTTTTCTTTAGTAACCTTTTGTGTGTGAGGGAACAGACTTCTGAAACATAAAATGGGACCCATTTACCTCACTTCACAAAGACACTGTGGTTAAAGCCTTTTTGACCTGGTGAACTAGCTTCCTGACCAGTTCTGTACAGCTTGCAGGTACAGCTGGTCATTGGAAAGTTCTTACAGCATGCCCATGGTTTGGGAGTGGAGCCAGGGGTGGGTTGGGATTTAAGGCTGTGGGAGCTTCATTACTTTCTTTCCACAAAGCTCAGCATTCCTTACATTTTCCAGAGGCCATACATCTTTCTTAAAATCCATTGCATCTAAGTGTCTCAGAGAAATTAGTGTGTACTTCTCAGTGGATCTTTCTGTCTTCTGAAGAGAAAAACTGAACCATCTGTATATAAATCTGTTGAACTAAAACAATGCTAGGAGTATTTTCCATTATCTCAGGTCTCATGTATTTTCCTTATTTTGAACCATCTGCTATGACAAGTAAAGAAACTGAACTGACTCACCCTCCAGTCCCCTTTGTTTCTTCCCTCCTCCAGCAAAGAAATACTAGTTTCTATAAGTGCATTTAGGTATATGTACTGAGTTGCTTTTTTAAAAACTTAAACATAATATCAAGTTTCTGCTTCCTTTTTGAGAACTTGATGTGCTAAAGAAATATAAGTACTTCTGTGTGTAATAAAATCTTGAGCACATTTTGTATTTAATATAATCTCATTAGTTTTAAATACAGTAACTGGGAAGAATTTGAGTGCCAGGCTACTTCTTGTGTCTTTCACTTTTTAGAGTATTTACAGTTTTTTGTAATTATTGCCTGACAGTTTAGGTAATATTTTAAGAGGTTTGCTAAAATGATTGAAGTTTAAAAACCTTATAATTAAAATGATTAAAATAGTAAGTCTATTACTTGGGCTCTTCCTGAGTCTGCTATGTTTTTGTTTTTTTTTTAAATTCTCATTGTGAAATATAAAACTCATATAAGGTCAAGAAATAGAACTTGGCCAACACCGCAAAAGCCCCCTCATGTCTCTTCCCAAACAGTATTTCCCTCCCCCTTGCCTAAGGTAACCACTATCTTGATTCTTTCTTTTTTCAATGTTTTACTTTTTATTAAAATTTTTTAAATATAATTTTTAAAGTTTGCCTTCCATTTACAGTTATTGCAAAATAATGGGTATATTCCCTGTGTTGTATAATAATCCTTGTAGCCTATCTCACACCCAGTAGTTTGTACCCCCCACTCCTCCACCCCTATATTCCCTGCCCCTCTGCCACTGGTAACCAACCATTAGTTCTCTATATCTGTGAATCTGCTTTTTTTTGGTTAGTTTTGCTTAGTTTGTTGTATTTTTTAGATTCCACATGTAAGTGATATCATACATATGTCTTTCTCTGTCTGACTTATTTCACTTAGCATAATGCTCTCCAGGTCCATCCATGTTGCTGCAAATGGCAAAATTTTGTTCTTTTTTATGGCTGAGTAGTATTCCGTGTGTGTGTGTGTGTGTGTGTGTGTGTGTGTGTGTGAGTTGTATCATATCATCTTTATCCATTCATCTGTTGATGGACACTTAGGTTGCTTCCATACCTTGGTAATTGTAAATAAGGCTGCTATGAACATTGGGGTGCATGTATCTTTTCAAATCATTCTACTGATTCTTATAGTAATAAGATTCTTGCTTTTCTTTATAGTTTTATCACCCAACCATGTATTCCTAAACACTATTGTTTAGTTTGCCTGCTTTATTAAAAAAATAAATGATGTAAATGGATTTGAACATTTTGTGTTCTTTTATTTTTGGCTTCTTTTGCTCATAATTATGTTTGTGAATCAACGTTACATGCACACAGTTTTCAAAAAGTTTTAATTACATAGAGAAAATGGAATAGGAAAAACAGTAGAGGGACATAGGAGTTAAGATGCATAGTTTACTAATGGCTTTGCCTCTAACCAGCAAAGATGGCTTAGAGCAAGTCGAACTGTCAGGATCTCTTTTTTCTTCTCTAAAGCATGATAGAATGTGTTTCAGTAATTGATAGGACCCCTTTAGCTCTAAGATGTGATGAAACTAGATAAATAAATGTTATACTGTGCTGCCCTTAATTTCTTTCATTTTTGTTTTCATTAGGTTGTCTTGGAGATACCCAGTTTTGTTTTAGATTTCGACAGTCTTCTGGGAGGAGGGTGTCACTGCATTGTCTCCTGGATCAATTTGAGAAAGATTTACCAGTTTACTTAAAGGTTGGAAAAGTAGTAATAGAATAATGTCTATGTGAGAGGAAACTTTAGAACTCAGTTACTCAGTTACCTCTTATAGCATTCAGAAATATTGTGCTTTTGTTTTGTTACTGTATTATACTGCTGAATTTCCTGAGTCTAATTCATAAGGATTTAGCATGTGAGTGAAAGAGACTTTATAAAATTACTATTCTTAAAAACATAATGCCATTGTGAATTATAGAAATTAGAATGTTGAATTAATTTTCTTTCACGTGTTAAAACTCTCTGTTTAGATGTGGAAGTGGGGTGGTAGTATACCAGTAAATATCACCTAGAGATGAAGATTCCCTGTGGTAACCCCTACCTGCTTTATAGTAGAATTATTGTTGTCTCTTTTTGATTTTTGAATGAGCTTTGGTTTATAGTTGTTGTTTATTAAAAACAATTTTAATAATTCAGATGATTCCTGGGTGTAGAATTTCTGTTTGGTACTTCATACTTTTATCTCTAACTGCATGAAGAACATTTCCATCTGGATGTCCTATTAGCACATCCAATAAGAACTTGACATCTTTTGCCTAAAATAAGTATTTACAGCTTACCTTCCTGGTTCCACTAATGACAGGAATCCTCTTCCAGTTAGCAAAGATGTTACCTTTTGAAATGTCTCTTATAGCCATCTTGTCCTTTCTGTGACCATTTGCTATCACTAATAACATATTCTGTCAACTGCTGATAATAATAGCTACTCCTTATTAGAGCTTTTTATGTTCTTGGCATTGTATCAATAAGCACATATTATCTTATTAATCCTCCCTATATTGTTCCAAAAGAGTTCCTTTTGCAAATGAAGGAATCGAGGGCTATTGAGGATAAAAATATTTGCCCAAAGACATCCTTCTTCTGTCTTTTTCAGTGCAATTTATCTTACACAGTGTTCCCAGCTAAAGTGTACATATATAGTACATAAAATAAGTAAAATCTAAAATGATTACTTATTGCTTAATGAATAAAGAGCTAATGATAGTAATATTTCCTGGTTCTCACTTTTTGGGCCTTCCAAAATAAAACCTTTGCCTTTCAAATGTCCAGCTTAATCTCCTTTCTATACATGTGCCATATATTAGCTAAACTGAACTGTATGCTTTTTCCTGAGGTAGCTTGTATTTTTCTATCTCTGCGCGGTTTTGCTCAAACTCTTGGCCGTCTAAACTTGAAATGTCTTTGTCTTTGTTTAAATCATATCCATCCTTCAATGCCCAGCTCAAAACCAGCTGCCTCCGCAAAATACTGATCGCCATAGACAGAAGTGACCTCTTCCCCCTTGGCCTCTTTGTAACACTTTGTGCTTTTTGCATGGTACCTGCCCTCCTATCACATACTAATCATTTTTGTGCTTTTCTTATCACTCTTAGTTTGTGATCTCCTTAAGGAACTGTGTCTTACACATCTTTTTATCTTTTCTAACACAATGCCTTGTTCAAAGTAGGTAGTCAATAAATATTTGTTTAAAGAATAACAATCAAATAAGGAACTGGGCCAGAGTTTATTCCATTAGGATATAAAAACTTTGTAAGTTTTTTGGACCTTTCAAATTGTATGTTAATAAATATTCCAGTGTTTCATTATTGTTGGGTAAAAATATAACTGTCTATGTAAAATTCAGATTGGCATTTAACTCCTTTTATTTCCTCTCTTGAAATATTGCATTAGTATACCTCATAAGACTGATGCCTAACTCAGAATTGTAGGCAGAATTTTTTAAAAACTAAGTATAGCATTGGGAAAAACAGAATTTGATTGTTTTCCTAACTTCCATTAACTACCACAGATATGAATAAAGAACGTAAACAGAGTAAGTTATAGGGGGTAAAATCTGACCTTAGTACTTTAGTTATGATTATTTCATCTGTGGGCAAGTTAGCAGGTTTTTATCTGCCAGTTATTGTCATGATTGTTGTTTGCATTGGTGGAAAAGCATAACTAGCTCTTTGTGTGTACCTCATATCTCAGTTCAAGTTTATAAAGGAACCTGCTTTTAATAAGAAAGGATGGCTATATATATATATATATTTTTTTTTTTTAATTTGTCACTTCTTTTATAGAAGGATCCTGCCTATTTTTATGGATATGTGTATTTTCGACAAGTTCGAGACAAAACTCTAAAAAGAGGCTACTTTCAGAAGGTAATTTTCATATACATTAATAGAAAAATATTTTTACTTTGTGGTTAGAAGAATAGAAATTATTAGAATGAACAGTCTTTAAAGTGTTTGATATTTTATCTTTAAACATACTAGAATTTATATTTTATCTTTTTTTTAGATTGTAGACACCCGTCCTTAGTTTTTTTTTGGCTGCATTGGGTCATTGTCACTGCATGCGGGCTTTCTCTAGTTGGGGCGAGTGGGGGCTACTCTTTGTTGCGGTGCATGGGCTTCTCATTTTGGTGGCTTCTCTTGGAGCAGGGTCTCTAGGCACGTGGGCTCAGTAGTTGCAGCATGCGAACCCTAGAGCGCACGGGCTTCAGTAGTTGTGGCGTGTGGGCTCAGTAGTTGCGTCGTGCGAACTCAAGGGTGTGTGGGCTTCAGTATTGTAGTGTGCGGGCTCAGTAGTTGTGGCTCGCAGGCTCTAGAGTGCAGGCTCAGTAGTTGTGGCACATGGGCTTAGTTGCTCCACGGCATGTGGGATCTTCCCGGACCAGGGATTGAACCCGTGTTCCCTGCTTTGGCAGGCAGATTCTTAACCACTGCGCCACAAGGGAAGTCCCTAGATTTTTAACTGCTATTGAATTTTGCCTTCCTGCTATCTCTGTACTAGATTCCTGACAGTAAGTTACAGTTATTGTATGAAACTGTCAAAACTCAGAGAATCTGTTTAATTTTCACATTTTAGAATAAGGGAAAGAAAACAGATTGTAACATAGTTACAGCTAATAAAAGCCTGCAATATCTTTTTTTGAAGAGCTAGTAAATATACTTGATCAACATCTTAGTCATTATTGTTCCCACTCTAAATGTACAATCTTTTTGTTTCTAAAGATATATATATATATATATATATATATATCAATTAATTCCAATTTAATCTCAGCTAACAGGGACATACCTTTACCTTTTGTAACCAGAACATGCCCTGACCACTAATTGATGCTTAATGGAACGATAAAAAGTAGTTTTCAAGAAAATAGATTTTTAAAAAGTCAGCATAATCTATATCTGAAGTGGTCACAAACTATAAAGTCACAATTTCTAAGAATGTGGCTAAAACCGTTGAACTCTAAAATATAACAGTCATAGGTCTTAGTTAGAAAAAGCATCACACTTTGTGCTTTCCTTTTTAGGAAGAGTTTATTTAGCTAATTCCTAATATTTCTTTACTGACAACAATAGTAGCTAGGCTTTGGAATTATCCATGACATTAGTTTGTTTATAGGAAATTCTTTTTCCTGCACAGCAGGAAAATCTGTGAATGTGTCTTTATGCTCTTAAAATGTAGTAATAAGGTTAAACTTCTGGTGTTCTGCCACTATAGTTTTATGTTTCTTTTAACCATCTACTGTAAAAGCCTTTTTATTTTAAAATCCACACTTTTTGCTGAATTTGGCTTGTTAGTAATTGATTGTATAAGAAATGGCAAACTTAAATTATAATCATTAAGAAATTAAACATTGTTTCTTTTTTCCCTCCAGTCCTTGGTTTTGATCAGCAAACTACCTTATATTCATTTTTTTCACACTGTGCTCAAACAGATAGCACCAGAGTATTTTGAAAAGAATGAACCTTATTTGGAAGCAGGTAAGTTAAACATTGTGTGAGTTAGGTACCTTTATGAAGGAGTTTTAAATTTTTTACTGGAAATGAATGAAAAAAAATTAGTTAAGAATTTTAAGGACTATAAGGTAGGAGAGAGAGGTAAAACAATTCTTCTGGCATATTTACCTACAAACACCAAAGATCCTATCTTTTATTTCTCCTTTTGCAGCACGGATGATGCCTATTTTTTAGGATAATAATAAACAAATATTGAGTTGCCAATTCTGATACTCAGAGTACTGTTAAACAGAAATCCTTATGTCACTCAATACAGAGAGAAGACATCTGCTAGGTGGTGTGCTTTTGTAGCTAATTTTAGTACTAATAAATGAGTAGGAAAACTCCCTTTAAACCTATTCTGTTGCTTTCAAAACATGTATTAACCAATTTATATTCTAGAACATAGGTGTATATCTGGTGAAATATAAGATATTTTCAGTACTTTTGCCTTTTATCTTCCATCCTTCCCAGTGTATTTTTTCTGCTATATGGAAAGCATAAAGTGGAGTTCTAACTTCTGATGTTCCATTTTTAATATTTTAGTATTTCCACTTATACTAAAGAAATATTTTACTATATTTTTCAGCTTGTAATGATGTTGATCGATGGCCTGCACCAATGCCAGGGAAAACATTACATCTGCCTATTATGGGGGTAGTAATGAAGGTAATAATAGCTTATATTTCATTTGTCTCCTTTTTTAGGAAGCTCACACATGACTTTTGCTTTTTAACTTCCTAATAACATTCAGTCTTGTTGCTTTCACTTGTCGTTGATGTGAGGAGTTACAAAAATACCGCAATTTATCCTGCTGCACAGAACCATTTGTCACACAACTCCAGGGGTCACCAGTCCCATTTTCATCCTGTAGAGTTTACATGATGCTGTCATTCTTATACAATGCATGTGAATGTAAATGCCACCTCCTAGAATTGTGCAACTTCATGGCCCTCCAGAAATGGATGGTATTGCAGAACACTTGTAGAATTGAGTATGAGTTAGTAAAATTTAAAAGAAATTAGGAAAGCCATTGGTTCTTACTCTTTTTTTTTTTTTTTTTTTTTTAATACAGCAGGTCATTGGTTCTTAGTCTTAAGTGATCTTTTTAATGTGTAATTTCAGACCAAAATGCCCATCCCAGGGTATTGTTCTCTACTAAGGTTTTTTTTAATACAATGAATTAGCATTTTGCTCTCAGGCTTTGTATGAATGTGCTGTAAGTGCTTTTGCAATTCATTTTCAAGTTGAACTTATTTTTGGCAATGTTCTCTCTTTAGATGTGCTCATTTCTGTAGGACCTCTGTTCTGTTTTTTCCATGGGAAATCATCAAAAGTAGGTCTGGGTTGAGAGTTCTCATGGTCCCCTGTGAGATTTATCCCATAGTTTGGCAAGCTTGAGAGGGTGTGTTTGGGTGTGTGTATATTAATGAAGCAAAGATTGGAACAATAAACAGGAAGTGGTATGTAGTTGATGTCCTTTTCTGTTTTTCAGCACGTTTGCTTCCCAGTGGGTTAGTGATTTCTGTGTGTATGGGAATGTGGAGACCTTGGTTCACTTACCTTCTGTTGTGACTAAAAATAAATATGACTGTAGTTTTTAATCTCACATAAGTATTTTGTTTTTATGGCTTTTTAGGCATTGTTGAGTGTACCTTTTTAGCATCAGGATAGAGTGCTTCTGATCCCTCATTGTAGCAGGACTCGCAAGTTATAGAAAGGTCATTCTTTTGTAGCCAGAGTTAATTTCTTCTCTTTTAGGTACGGATTCCCACATGTCATGACAAGCCTGGGACAACTCAAATAGTGCAGTTAACTCAGCAGGTATTGTGCTACTGTGGTAGAATAATCCAGCATATGTAGTCTCTTTAACAGAAATTTTAAACTAGCAAATGTAGAGTTTCTTGGGTTTATGATACATTTATGAATATCACTGAAATATCCCATTAAATAATTTTTAATGAATTGATAATAAGCTTCCTATCAAAAAAAAGCTTCCTATTTTCCGATTCTTTTTTCTTGTTCTTTCTCTAGTGGACACTGGAGAGCTCAGAATTTATACTGTAATTGTGAGGACAAGCAGAAAATTACCTTTTGTAAAAGATTAAACAAGGTTTAATTCTAACAAAACCTCTTATCTTAGAAGAGTGGTCAACAGACTTCTGTTTTTGGGAAACTTAATCAAAAGGATTCTGTAGTTATAATCGCCCTTCATTTTCCCCAAAGTTACATTTGTTCATGGGTGGGGATGAATTTTTCATTTGAAATTATTTAACTGGTATATTAGCACTCCCATTGTCCTTTGAATTAAATAAAAATGGAGAGCAATAGGAAAACAAATTTTGCCTGTTATATATATCAACTGGTATTATGGTAGTATTCATACAGTTGAGAATTAATCTAACATCTGACCACTGGATTAATGTTTTATCGGGTGGAATCTATGTTGTCCTTGACCTGCTGTATTAGGGGAGACTGTTAAGACCCATTCTCTTTGTAGCTGCTTCTGGAGGAAGAGACTCTTAGAAGATAGGGCAACATGGCTGATTGATTATGAGATAGATAGGCATATTATAAAAGTCAGTTTCTGGCAATTTTGGTGACATCTTGTCTATTTTTTTTTTCTTTTTTATCTCTTAGGGAGACACACATATATCTGTTATTTTACCTACTGTTCATGAGGTGGATCTTTTCAGGTAAAGACTAAAAAATTTTGTTAACTGCCTTGTCTCATTTGCTTTATGATATTGTTGTTGATTTCTTTAAAAAGTGAATATTCCTATATAAAATGTGGAAAAAACTGGAAGAAAATAGTCATGTTTCACATGTTGTAAATCAGTGGTTCATCCCTGACTGCATGTCAGCTGCTTTGACTACTAGGGAAATTTGGATATGGATTGGGTATTACATGGTAGACACAAATTATTTTTGTTTGGTTGGGTGTGAGAATGGTAAATAAATAATTTTTTTTCTAGGGATGGCCTTTTTTGGGGAGTTGGGGGGAGTGGGTTGAGAGCATAAAGCATGATACTCCAGAATGGGAATATAAAAGTGGTGCTAAAAGAAGACTGTGATTTCCCTACAAACCCCTCATTTTAGTAACTCTACCCTGCCGTTAATTTGATGTATACCACCAATATCTATTAAAGGTTTCCTCTCTTGAATATTTAATACTTACCTCCCCCCAATAAAAACTACTTTGTGTAACAGATATTACTAGTGTAATACAGAGGTTTCAGAGAATGCTTCATCTTGTAATTGTACTCTTCCTATCTGTTTGTGCCCTTGCTGATAGATAACATTACTAAACTTCAGAGAGAAACTAATTTGCAACTTTGATGCCTTAAGGGCATCCCACTATTAAAGTCAGTTGGTCAGATGTTTCCATATAGGTCTTTTCCATTTTTCCTTTGCTTATTTTAAAATTATAAATATATGTCTGTAATATATATAAATTATATATTTAAAAATTATCCATATATACTGTACTGATCACTTTTCTGTAAATTTGTGATTATTTCAATTTTTTACATATATAAATATTTATATAAAATTTATGTATCTGTATAAAATTTTGAAACAATCACAGATTTTACAGAAAAGTGGTCAGTATAGTAAACTTTTTTTTCGTAGAACCATTTGATAGTAAGTGGGAGACCTGATGCCCCGTCTTCCCTTAATACTTTAGTGTCTGTTTCCTACAAGTAAGGACTCAATGCAACCATAAAAATTGGGAAATTAACATTGATAAATTAGTACCATCTAATACTAAGACCACATTCAAACGCGTCCAGTTGTCACAATAATATCTAGTTCAGAACCGTCTGTTGCATTTAGATGTCATGTCTGTTTAGTCTCAGTCTGGAATAGCTCCTCAGTCTTCCTTTCATGGCCCTGACATTCTTGTGGATTACAGGACAGTTATTTTACAGGAAATCCCTCAGCTTAGGTTTGTCTGGGATTTACTCATAATAAGATTCAGGCTCTGTATCTTTGGCCAGGAGTTAGCACACAAGGTTGGCTTGCCTCATTGCTGATAATGTTCACTTTGATCTCTTTATTAGTGTGGTGTTTTCCAAGCTTCTCCATTGATAAATTATTCTTTTTCCTTTTGTAGTTAAATATTTTGTGAGGAGATACATTGAAACTACGTATGTTATTTATTTATTGTTGTGTAATAAGTTACCCCAATACTTAGAAGTTTGAAAGAACAAACGTTATTTCACACAGTTTCTGAGAGTTAGGAATCTGGGGACTGCTCAGTTGGATGGTTCTAGTTCTAGATCTCTTGTGAGGTTGCAGTCAAGATGTCAGCTGAGGTTTTAGTCAGTTGGACAAGTGGGGCTGGAGGGTCTGCTTCCCTAGAAAGCTACTTTAGCTGTTGGCTGGTGGTCACAGTTCCTTGTGACTGTTGGCAGGAGACCTTCATTTCCAGCCATGTGGACGTTTCCAAAGGGCTGCTTAAATTTTCTCACAACATTCGGCAGGTGATCTGAGAGAAAGCTGAAGTCGCAATGTCTTTTATGACTCAGGCTTCAAAGTTGTATATTATTGGGACTTACCTGGAAGTCGAGTGGTTAGGACTCTGCGCTTCCACTGTATGGGGCGCGGGTTTGATCCTTGGTCGGGGAATTAAGATCCCACATGCCACACGGTTGGGGTGACCTCGGAGCACAAAAAAACCTCCGAGTGATTAAAGCTTAGGCCCACTAGCCAAAGCATAATATCACTTATTGATCCAAAAATTGATCAACGGAACAAGTTACCCTGGGGATAACAGCGCTATCCTATTCTAGAGTCCATATTGACAATAGGGTTTATGACCTCGATGTTGGATCAGGACACCTCAATGGTGTAACTGCTATTAAAGGTTTGTTTGTTCAATGATTATTGAAAAAAAAGTTGTATATTATTGCTTTAATTTACTCTGTTCATTAAGTGCAAGCCACTAACCCAGCCCACCTAAGAGGGTGAGAAATAGGCTCAGTGCTTTAAAAGGAGTGTCAAAGAATTTGTAGAAATATTTTAAAACATTGCACCATGTATGTATATCTGAATGGATTTTTGGTTTCTTGTTTTATTCAACAGGTTATTAAAATCCATTATTCTCATCGGTTTTTGATGTTCAAATTGTCCCCAGTTTGGCCAGTGAGAATCCATTTCAAGCTGGCCTCTGTTTTTCTTTTTTTGTCATATCCTTTTCATTCTTGAAACACTACCTTTTTTGTTCCAGGCTTATCTTTTTTTTTTCCTAACTAAAAAAATTGATATATAATTCACATACATAATATTCACTCTTTCAAAGTATACAGTTCATTTGTTTTTAATATACTCACAGAGTTGTGCAACCATTACTGCTGTCTAGTTCCAGAATATTTTCATCACTCAAAAAGTAACCCTGTACCCCATTAGTAGTTAGTCCCCATGGCCTCTTCCCCGCAGCCCCTAGTAACCACTAATCCACTTTGTCTCTTTGGATTTGTCTATTCTGGACATATCATATAGATAGAATCATACAATATGTGACCTTTTATGTCTGCCTTCTTTCACTGAGCATATTATTTTCATGGTTTATCCATGCAGTAGCATGAATCATTACTTCATTCTTTTTATGGCTGAATAGTATTCCATTGTATGGATATGCCACATCCATTAATCCATTGAAGGACGTTTGGATGGTTTCCACTTTTTGGCTGTTATGTATAATGCTGTTGTGAACATTTGTATATAACCCTTTGTGTGAACATATGTTTTCAGTTCTGCTGAGTTCCAAGATTATCTTGTATTTTCTCTTCCCCAGCCCTGGAATCAGCTACTTAGTAGAGAATAGGATTTAGAAGTCAAGATCTGGGCACTAGTTGTGGTCCTTGCTAAGGGAATATCCCTGTCAGTGGACAGAGCTAAGGAAAATATGTATCTGTAAATGCATGTATACATACACACTCATATATAGTATTTAAACACTTTTACATACATATTTATTTCTATATCCATATATATTGAAAACTATAAAGTCACACCAATACCCTTAATTCTGGTGCAGCATGACAGGGTTCACTCTACTTTTCTCCCTTTTCATATTTGTATTTCTTTTCTCTGACAGAGGAGCTACATCCTATTATCCTTGATTCATTTACTTATTTGATCGGCCCATGTTAGTAACCAATCTCTCGTCTCTGCTGCAACCTTATCCTCTGAGCAAATGCCTTTCTTATCCTTCTTGGGCTCTGAAACTGCCCACCTGGCTGCTCTTCTTCATGGACACCCTCCTTACCCTGCTTAGGCCCTGCTCCATGCCTGATTGACCCCTCACGTGGTTCCCCTCTTGCCCCAGTCAGGCTTCTATACCCCACGTTAGGCCACCTCTCTATGTGGATGCTATCCTCACCCTGTTGTGCTCTGACTCCCAATGCCAAGCCAGCCCCCACGTGGATCCCTCCTTTCCCT